AAAATAACATAAAGAGTCCTTAAAAATTGGTCATTTCTCCAAATCTTACAACAAAGTTGTATGTAGAAAAATGTGATCAAACAAAATCATTCTTAATACTGTGCTGGTTGCGACCCGATATATCCCAATAAATTGTGGGGTTTTTCTTTAAATTTTTGAAAAAGTTCAAAATGTCACTTGGTGGTATTTTTTTTTTATTATTTTAAAAAGCGCTACTTAGTTTAATAGAGCTGAAATTTTAGGGTAAATATATTTTTTCAACTTTTACTATACGTGTTTTTGAGATTTTCAACCTAAAATATTTTTTGTTGTAAAATGCAACCTAAACTACACATACAGTCACTATTTGCACGCTCAACCACATGTTGACCGCACACGTGTCCTTTTTGGCAGATGATCGGATGGTCAAAAAGTAGTCGAACGTGCAAATAATTGTATATATGAAATTCAGGTTGCATTTCACAACAAAAAATACTTTAGGTTGAAAATCTCAAAAGCACATATAATACAGGTTGGAAAAAAATATTTACCCAAAATTTTAAGGAGGAAATCAAATGACTTTTAGTTACTATGTTAAGTAAATATCATTGTCTCTTTATATATTAATAGATTAAAAATGCTACATGAATTTAAGTTGTGCAAAAATATATAAAACATGCCTATCAAAAAGTTCCTAAAATGCTATAACATGTATAAAATTTATAGCTAAAAAGTTCTATAATATTATTGACAGATGTGTGAAATTACCTAAAATAACACTTTAATTGTTGTAGGTTATTATTTATATATAGGTACGCCGCGAAATTTAAATTTTAGTAAATTTACAAATTAAATTTGTACCAAGCTATGTATTATTTATTATTTAAATCCAAATCATGATAATATTCACAAGATAGATGCTATCGGCATATATATTCAAATTTAAATATTTATATTCAATAATTAACGTCGTGGAGTCTTGAGATAAAATTTGAGACATGTTGTGAAGGAAAAATATGGCATCCCATATTTTAAAAGTTAAGTGACATAGTCTGGAGAAAAGAAAAAAAAAAACCCCAATTTCTCTCTGTAAAAAATCCCCAAACATAACCTAGCCCCTCCGCCGACACCTGCGTGCTTCTCCCCTCCGGAGGCCCTTGGCCTCGCAATACCGGCGGACATCTGACTCACCATGAGCTTGCTGGTCCGACAGCGGTGGTGGCTTCGCGTTGATTCCTCCCAGTAATGGTTCTGTTCTCCTTGTTGAGCCATGACGGAAGTAATTGAGGTGGGGTGCGGTCGGTGTCAGATCTGGCGGCCACCATTGAAGTTCTGTGGAGGTCTTCAGTGGAGGTCAAGCATTGGTTCCCCTCTTACCCGACTTTTCCTGGT